TCAAACTGAATGAAAAATGGAAACCAGCAAAATATTATTCTAATAAAACAAAACTTTGCAAAGGGCAAAGGCTATATAATTGGCCATTAGCCAGGGAGAAGTATTAGGGACAGTCTCTCCTAAAGTTCTTCAGTCTTCCCCTACATTTTAATTTTTAAGTTGCTTAAAATTTGTCCTCAGGAAATGTTTCCCAGTTATCGCAGAGATAAACATACCACTGATTGGAGGGGCATTCCCCTCTAATTGTTTAGGCTTGCTGAAGTCCTGATGTAAAACAAGGGATGGATAATCAGGAGTTGTTTTTTCTTCCAAACTTAGAAAACTGCATTAGACAATTGGGGAAAATGATGAGTTTCCAGCCCAAAACAGCATCCTGCAAATGTCTGTAAACAGTCTAGCTACAAATGCATCATTGTTATCCTGCACTGATGTGTAGTCAAAACAAAAAGTCATGAGAACTACCAAGAATTTGTGATTTGTGAAGACCAGTAAACATAGTCTGATAGACTAATCATTCATAAACTAATCATTCTCTTTGGCTTGTTGCCAAAAACAAATTGCTGTTAGCAAGGATGGGCAACTGGCAAATTGTGTTTACCTCTTTTTCATGATCTCTTTTTTATGATTTTGCTGAGAGTGTATTGCTGCAAAATATCGGTATCAGTAATTGATGTGTGTGTGTGAGAGAGAGAGGGAGGGAGGGAGGGAGAGAGAGAGAGAGAGAGAGAGAGAGAGAGAGAGAGAGAGAGAGAGAGAGAGAGAGAGACTGATTTATGTTACACTTTTCTCAGACTTAACATATCCAGTTTCTTTCCATCCACGGAATGCCACCCTGCTCCCAAACTGCCATTCTTAGATACCACTTCAATTCAGTTAAAACTAACCAGATCAAAACCAATCTTTATTACAGTCATAGATGAACATAACCACTCACCAGAAATTTACAAGGACAAAAACTTAAATCTTACATCTGAATCTGAATAATGGCTTGCTCCTGTAACTGGATCTGATAACACCAACCCTTGAGTTAGTAAAGAAGACAAAAGCTAGGATCTTGATTCAGTTGGTGTATTAACCTGGTAAGGGACTGAGTAGTTCACTGTCTTATAGCATTGCCAAACAAGAACCATTAGGCAGAAAGCAACAGCGCCCTTTCAGAATGCAGGAGCCAGAATGTGAAATTGGAATTGAAGTTAGGAGCAATTTTGGCTTAACATCATGTATGAATTCTTCCAGTTGGACAAAGATAAGTGGTAAATTTGTTGTGAATCATATTACTTACACATATGAATGTATATGCATATTGATTTATATTTTTGCCTGAAAAGTTATTTTGACATTTCCTCAAGGTAGCTATAAAATGGATTTTTTTAAAAACAGTATCTGTAATAGTTCTTTTTTTTTTTTTCCTGGATTGTTATGTTCTACAAGGGACGAATAAAACTCTCTCATGTCCAGAATGCTTCTAAGAAACAATTTTGTCTACTTTTTGTATGAGAAAAATGTTTTTCTTGGCGTCAATAGGATGCCTGAATAGGGTTACAAATAGCATTTACATGGGCTTAGCCCACCCTTGACAGTGAGGAAATGCAAGTTGGTTGGGATCTACTGGGGAATAGGATCTACTGAGCTTAGTGAGACACGGATGTCAATTGACATGTTGAGATTGCAAGTGAGCCGCTCTGTTGAGTCCCCTATAAGGAACTGAGAGGTTGTTAGGGAATGTAATCACTGCCCTCTAGTGGGAAATTAAAATTAAAATGCAAATTTATCATCTTGGATTCTTTTTTTTCTGCCTGATTTTGAGAGTCTCCTGGACAAGTGTTCAGTTTTCTTCACAAGGTTTTTCATAAGTGGTTGGTTGTTGTCTCCTTCCTAGGGCTGAGAGAAAGTGGCTGGCCCAAAATCACCCAATTAGCTTTAGTCTAAGGCAGAACTGGAACTCAAGTCTCCTGATTTCTAGCTCGATGATGCCTTAAATTCTATACTAAACTAGCTGTCTAACCTCTCATTAGGATAATGCAAATAGTATATACACAGAGTGAGTGGAACTATGCCATCCCTAACAATTATGACATAGGTATAACCAGCAAATATTTTCGACAAACTGTCAGGATGCAAGGCAATAGATTTCATCCCATTACCAATTATTTCAGAATAGATACATCATTCTTTTTTNGTGTGTGTGTGTGTGTGTGTGTGTGAGAGAGAGAGAGAGAGAGAGAGAGAGAGAGAGAGAGAGAGAGAGAGAGAGAGACTTATATTACACTTTTCTCAGGCTTAACATACCCAGGTTCTTTGCATCCATGGAATGCCACCCTGCTCCCAAACTGCCGTTCTTAGATACCACTTCAATTCAATTAAAACTAACCAGATCAAAACCAATCTTTATTACAGTCATAGATGAACATAAACACTCACCAGAAATTTACAAGGAAAAAAACTTAAATCTTACATCTGAATCTGAATAATGGCTTGCTCCTGTAACTGGATCTGATAACACCAACCCTTGAGGTAGTAAAGAAGACAAAAGCTAGGATCTTGATTCAGTTGGTGTATTAACCTGGTAAGGGACTGAGTAGTTCACTGTCTTATAGCATTGCCAAACAAGAACCATTAGGCAGAAGGCAACAGCGCCCTTTCAGAATGCAGGAGCCAGAATGTGAAATTGGAATTGAAGTTAGGAGCAATTTTGGCTTAACATCATGTGTGAATTCTTCCAGTTGGACAAAGATAAGTGGTAAATTTGTTGTGAATCATATTACTTACACGTATGAATGTATATGCATATTGATTTATATTTTTGCCTGAAAAGTTATTTTGACATTTCCTCAAGGTAGCTATAAAATGGATTTTTTAAAAAACAGTATCTGTAATAGTTCTTTTTTTTTCCTGGATTGTTATGTTCTACAAGGGACGAATAAAACTCTCTCATGTCCAGAATGCTTCTAAGAAACAATTTTGTCTACTTTTTGTATGAGAAAAATGTTTTTCTTGGCGTCAATAGGATGCCTGAATAGGGTTACAAATAGCATTTACATGGGCTTAGCCCACCCTTGACAGTGAGGAAATGCAAGTTGGTTGGGATCTACTGGGGAATAGGATCTACTGAGCTTAGTGAGACACGGATGTCAATTGACATGTTGAGATTGCAAGTGAGCAGCTCTGTTGAGTCCCCTATAAGGAACTGAGAGGTTGTTAGGGAATGTAATCACTGCCCTCTAGTGGGAAATTAAAATTAAAATGCAAATTTATCATCTTGGATTCTTTTTTTTCTGCCTGATTTTGAGAGTCTCCTGGACAAGTGTTCAGTTTTCTTCACAAGGTTTTTCATAAGTGGTTGGTTGTTGTCTCCTTCCTAGGGCTGAGAGAAAGTGGCTGGCCCAAAATCACCCAATTAGCTTTAGTCTAAGGCAGAACTGGAACTCAGTCTCCTGATTTCTAGCTCGATGATGCCTTACATTCTATACTAAACTAGCTGTCTAACCTCTCATTAGGATAATGCAAATAGTATATACACAGAGTGAGTGGAACTATGCCATCCCTAACAATTATGACATAGGTATAACCAGCAAATATTTTCGACAAACTGTCAGGATGCAAGGCAATAGATTTCATCCCATTACCAATTATTTCAGAATAGATACATCATTCTTTTTTTTTGCTAACCTCAATTGAACATGGAAATTCAAGATTTCCAATTATTCTAAGAAAGTTTTAGCATGCTATGCATTCTAATGGTGCTTTGGGCCATTCACTGAGCCCTCTGTCAACATGCCAATAGCCTCTCTTCATCATGGAAGCAGTCCAGCTGTTGTGCCAAGCTCAATTTTTTTTATCATTCCTTCCTTACATATCTTTGGCTTCTAATTATCAAGGCTAGTAGTCTGATTTAGCCACTTCAAGTTGAACCTGTTTGCCTTGCCACCGTAAAACTTGTGCAATTTCTTATGAGTCATGAACTGAGACTAATGAATTGATACATTGAACGGGTACATTGAACAGGATGTCAGCATGGATTTTATGCTTAATTTTATTCTTCCTTTTTTTCATGAGTAACTCAAGGTGGCTAATCTATCTCATACTTCTTCCTCCTCATTTCCCCACAAACCTATGAGGTGGGCTGGGCTGAGAGTGAACAAGTGGCCCAAAGACACCCAGCTAGTTTTTCAATACCCATCTTAAAAGTTGTAAAAATCAATTTGCAGAAAAGAAAATCTGTCCAATTGGAGACTTTGAGTATTCAAGGGAATATCAGATATTTTATTCTGACAATTTTTCCTTTGATACTCTGCTGGTGAGTGTTGAACCAAAAGTCAAATCCAAGAAGAGAGAGCCAGTTAAGTGGACGTGGAAGAGGAAGATGGGCTCCACGATGATAAAATTATTTATACTGCTATTTAAAAAGCCCCCGACAACTATTTTTGTGGTACAGGTTTTCTTTTGTGTCATTTTTAACAAACTGTATTAACTAGCTTTGTGTCATTTTTAATAAACTGCATTAAATATATTACTGCATAAAGAATTTTGAAACTGTCTACTATTATGTCAACACTCTTCAAATCCTTGAAAAGATGTCAGGTGGAAAATCAAAACATGGTCCCACTCATTCCAGAGTGCCAGATCTAAAATAATGGATTGAAGGCAGATTATGACTCAGTAGGAAAACAAATAAACAAATGTCTGACCTGCAAAAACAGTTCACAGTGGAATCATTCCCCCCACCCCAAGATCATGCATTCTCCTTTACTAGATGTGTCGAGACCCACAACCTCTTTGGATTTCCGCATTAAGCAGGGGTTGGATTCAATAGCCTCTCTTGACTCTGTCACTCAAGACAGCCAAGATTTCAGCAGCTGCATGGACATTCACAACTGAGTTGGTAATTCAGTTCAGTTTTAAAGCTATTAACTGGTAAGACTGCAGCATAAATGTACTGTAAATACAAACGCTAAGTTTTGACTTAAAAACTTTCAATTACAGAAGACAAAAGGATTTGATTCTTTTCATATTTACACATTTATTATTTGCTGTACAAATTCAGGAGTGCAGTTCTGCCTCCCTAATTCTCTTTTAATGACCATTTAAACATGATGTATACAAGCTGGGTCCATGCAATTTCAATTTCTACGGACTTGTTTTTTAAAACCTTATTTCACGTAGTCTAGTTTTCTTGTACAAAACATTTCCCCTTTTGGATTTTTACATTTTATTCCATGTTCAAAACAACTTTGGAGCAACTGTTGTGCAGCAACTGTAAATACATTTCTTCAGTTCCAAACAGCTATCTTTTGAAAGAGCAATAAAAGTAATCCAAATGCTATTATTCACTGAGCTGCAAAAGAAGCCACTTACATGAAATAAATTACGGCGGTTACTATGTGGACTTATGAACCTTGCATCGGAAGACAAACCTAAGCCACTTTTGTAAAACTTAAGCCTGACTTACTTAAGCTGTATTCCTTAGTATGTGTGTCTGCATTTGTGTATTAACTAACTGTCACTTTTCCAGGGTAAATAAATCTTGAATCTGATATAGAGGATTAAAAGAAAGATGTTCATTTGATTCTTCTCTTTTATGCCATTGGAAAGGTCTGAAACAGGAAGCAGGTTCTCGGGTGAAGTGTCCACGATTTCATTCTTTTTAAAAAACAAAATTAAAAGGAACACCTGCATTCGCCCATAGTGATTTAAATCCTGGAAAATCCTTGAATCTGAAGCTTAGAAATCAAATCATTCATTTTTTCTTTCATTCTTCGTGTGATTCACTGCAAAAGTTAAAATTAAGACATATATTATTTTAGAATAGGATCATATACTGGAGAAGTATTTAACCACAGTAATGCAATAATCTCAATACATGAATATATATCTATCATGGTACTTCTGCTTAGGAAAGCAAAGTTATGAAAGTACAAAACAAGGTGAGAAGTTGTAAGAAAAAGGCAGGAGATTAACAAAAATAAACAAAAAATATTTCTCCTTCTTCTGTGATTATTATCAATTCAATTTCTATGACTGCCTATTTCATCTGAATAACTCTAGGTTAGTGATCCAATCCACATTCATTCACTCTATATGACCAGACAAATTTTACTCATTCGCTTTTGTACACAATCTTCAATCAATCAATCAATCAATCAATCAACCAATCATTCTCCATTCATTTTATATTATCTCTTTCTGTTTTACTTAAGTATCTCATTCCCATTGCATTCCCATATGCATTGTATACATATATTTAGAAATGGGATATAAGGGAACTCTTACTTTAGATCAACTAAAATAATGTGCATGAATGATGAACATACAATTAAACTGTATCATATGCTTTCAAACAAACAAATCACTAGCTTTATTAAAACGTTTAATGCAATCACCACAAATTCAATATTCAAGAATAAAGATAGTCTTTTCTTAGGTGGGAATGAGAGAAAGCAAGTTCATTTGTAGAGTTAATGTCCCATAAAATTTATCTGTTTGAAGCACCAAAACTCAACACCAAAACAAATAGTCTTAACTTATGACCAGTCATTTTGTGACTGCTCAGTTATGATAGACCCTCCAAAAGACATTTACGACCTAGCTCTGATGACTGCCTTCCCTGTGGACCTGTGACTGCATTTCAGATACTCAGGAACTGAGCTGCATCTACAACTGTTATAAGTTGAGGACTACCTGTTCAAGAATGCAAACTTTCCCACCCTCCCTTAACAATGGACCTTGGGGAGACCTATTAACAACTCAGTGGTGCCACTGAAATCAGTGGTTATCAATGTTTTCTTCACCATGGACCTCCTTTAAATACCTTTTGCGGCCACAGATCATGACCACGGACCTCCCCCCCAAGACTTAACTCAGAGTCAAATCATAACATTTATTTTAAGCGTTCGCATTGCAGCCCCCCATGGGTCCGCAGACCGCAGATTTGAGAACCACTGATATAAATTATAGTGTGATATTTTTTTGTAATAAGGTTACAAATGGCTAGAAAAGTTCACTCAGCCTTTGTTTCCAACTTGGATTTTTTTTTTATCCTGAGAGAATACTATCAGATTGCAACATGCAGTTCCAACACACTCTCAAGAAAAAGGCAAAATGCTCTAGTTATGAGAAGCTAATATAAACATTTTGCTTTTTTGTAGGACTTCCATCAAAATGTGAATCCCATCTTAATTTTAATAAAAAGAGGGGAGTTGGATGTGGCCTTGGAATTGTACCTACTCTTAATATTTCTTGACATTAGACTCCTTACCTTCAGCCTACTTCTTTTCACACATCTCTACTGATCTCTTTTCAGTTCAGTACTTTTTTTCTTTGCTCTCTTTAATTACCAACACTTTCTCCCCTACTCTATGTTTAGCATTTCCTACATTGTTTAATATGAGCCATCTTTTATTCTGCTTTCAAGTCCTTAATCTTTCTGTCTTCCAGTATGGTATTTACCTCCAGCAAATCAGCCTATTGTCTTTCGCATGAAAGTTGATCTGTATTTTCAGCTTTAATGTCTGGATTATCCAAGGACACCTCACATATGTAAACGTCAATGGGGCCTTTTGTGCTTCTAACATGTACTTCTATGCAGTCCTGAAAAATACCAATATGTTTTAAAGATTAAGGGACAAATTGCAGCATGGCAAATATTTTAATACATGAAGGGTGCACAGTTTTTGTTGTATTTCAAAACTCAAAGGATGCCAGCATATTCACAGGAAAGTGTTCGAATTCCCCAGAATGTAACAAGAATTTCCAGGTAAGCACTTCAGGAAGAGTCCCAAATATCTTATGCTGCTAACTGTTATATCTCTTTGAACTCTGAAACTAGCAATGGGGTATGTATGTGTTTCCCAGTCTCTTCATAAGCTTCTCGTTAAGCGTTTTTGCTTAAGATCAGTGGGCCGAAGTCATTTTCATTTCAAATCATTACAGTTTGATCCTAATGAAATTAGCTGACACCTCTGAAACTTCAGAATGAGGTATTTTAGAGTGAGAAACCAAAAATGTGCGTAATTTCATTTCCATGTAGAAGAAACTGGCAGCCTAAGCTATAGTTAAATTTTCAATCAGTATGCTAATTTACAAGTACAGTATATGTGACAAATCTCCTTCTGTGACATTTAAAATAAAAATGAAAACTTCACTGTTGATCTTTGTAGGTAGATCTTTTGTAGAGCTATGCATCCAATCAAATCCCAGAAATTTCAAATCAAGTCAGGAAGTACCTACTTCTTTAGGAGGGGGTATGTCCATTCTGGTTCCTTCTGGAGCCTTAATTGCAATAATAATCTGTTCTTGAAATGTCTGAATGTTATGGATATCTTGATAGTTCACATAAGCTAATGTATGCAACAGTTAAGAAATTTTAACAGCAGTAGTAGAAAGTATTGCTTACTTTTAATATATACAATGTGATTATTAAAATATTATAATTACACAAAAACCTAATATTGTTCAATTCCAGCAACTCAGAATATTTGCCAATATTAAGGGAAAAGGATATTTTGCATTTTCTTTATCGTCTGTTAAGTCAAACAACTGATGAGCACAATCTTTGATTAATTCATCCATTGCTGCTTCCACTGTTGTCAAATCACGGAGTTCATCTCTTAACTTCTGTTGCTCTGGTGTTCGTTTAGTAATATGCTTAATATCTGAACCCCTAAGATAATTTAAAAAAAAAAGATAGAAGTTTTAAGGTTTAAGTTTAAAGATATAGGTAGCATTGCATCATTTATCAATACCAAAATCATTTTTAATGAGAGCATAAAAAATATCTATATACTACTAATCGTGAACTGGGCAAAATGGTACATCACAACTTTGTCGACAAAGATACCTCAAATGGGCTAACTTATAGAATGCTGGGACTCTTTACTCCTGAGGAAATGATATTTGGGAAAGCTATGGCTGTTTCAGTGCTGCCGGGTTGCTGGGGTCACACAATCCTCATTTTCAATATTCTGTGACAGCTTCCTAGACACTCACATAATCCCTTCCTCCCTTCCCCACTGAGTAGAACCTACATACCTGCCTTCTGGGAAAAGAAGTAGGAAAGGGTGGGAAGAACGAGGAATGAACCCCACACACCCTTCCTGGCCTCAACTGCCCTCCCAATTTCGTCTCCTAACCCATGCAGCACCTCTTGCACATCCCTGCAACTCCCTGTCATCTTCCTGACCTGCACTTTCCCCTTGCACATGCTCCCTGACTCGTACACCTCCCTACTATCATTCCCGACCCTCACCCCTGTGCATTCTCTCGCCCTCTCCCCCACCTGGTAGCAACCACTTATCTGTCTGTTGGCCTTGGACTTGCAACTTCCTGCTGGCTTCCCCACTTTCTCACTGCAAAATTCTCAGAAACAAAGTAAATGGGGAAGCCAGAAGGAATTCTAGAAGAGAAGGAAGAAGGAAGGAAGGAAAGAAAACAATGACAGGGAGGGAGAGAAGTGGGGGAAGAAAAGAAGGGAGGGAGGGAAAGAAAGGGAATGGAAGGGGAGAATTTCCAGTGCTTCCTGCCAGCTTCCCACAAGGAAACTCAATGGGGAAACCATCAGGAAGTCGGTAGTCATTCCCACTCCTGCTGCTTTTTGCCTTCTCTTGGCCATTTCACTGTTTAGGTAATGAAATATCTCTGAAACAATGACCCAACAGGGCACAGGTTGTCTGAACGTCTAAAATCAGGTATCACTGGCAGCTACACATTTCATGGCACTAAGATACATACTAATAGTCTATTCTTGTACAGACTTAAGCAGTGTAAACGGACATTTTTATTAGATCAAGTTGTATATATATTGTTGTGTACATGTTTACACAATATAAGATCTTTACAAGTATTACATTAATAATATTTATATATAAGAAGCCCTGCATCATTATTACAGATTCTTTCCACTTGAGATTCTATTGTGGTAAGAGCTGAAGCAAGAAAGTGTCTCTGTCTCAATAGCTTGATACTCATATTACAGTATTAGGATGCTTAGACTAAGCTCAAATATTTACATATATAATTGTAGAAATCTTTGGTCAACCCCATATCCTTCTATCCATAGCAGAGGTAGTGAACAAGGCTATTAATTTAAAATAATGAATTTGTGTCCAAGAAACCTTCCAGATTGTATCACATTCTTAATAATTAACAGTTTGAAATAATGTGTTTTTGCTACATCATGTTTAAATATCTAGGATCTCAAGCACAAAAGTTAAAAAAAAAACAGTCAACTTACACCCATTGGATATGATTCTTGGATCTTTTCTGAACGAGATGTATTCCATCCAATACATTGGTAATATCATATACTCTTCGTTTCCGTACTCCTAGCAAACGAGATACTTCATTCAAATCAAGGACTCCGTGTGGAGCAGCTTTGACAAGATCCATGAATCTTCTGGTCAGCTGAACCAGAGATCCATCATAACGGGGCTTTCTGCCTTTCATTGATTCTGCATAGGTTTAAATAAAAAGTACAGATTAACCCATTGCAGCAGGGTTGTAACATGGAAAACTTCTCACATTTGTCATCCAGAGCTTTTGAGCTAATCACCCTATCTAACAGGCACCAGTTCAATAATGAAACGTATTTCCATTGCCTTTAAAAAGTTCATTCCTTAAACCAGATACATTATCTTTCAGATTAAAAAAAACTCCAAATTCATATGGAGGCATATATATAAAATACTTTCAATTACTGGCACACTCAAACTTGTGCTGTGCTAAAAAGAGGTGCTGCTTACTGACATTCCTGATCCAATATTACCATATTATAGTATGGGCAGGAATGGTCACTACTGTCCTTATTGGCTCATTCTGCATTTTTTTCAAATACTGTGCATGTTTCCTTTCCTACTCTGGTAAAGAATAACATAGGAGTACTCCTGCACGATTCAACTCATGTTCACGGAGGAGGAAATTCCACTCATATGATCCTAACTTGAATTCCATTCCTCATCTTGACTCCTCTTCCCTTTGGCTGTGTTCCTCTTTCATTTCTCTGAGTTGAGAAGTGAACTTATGGGTGGCTTGAACTCCTGAAATAGGACTGTGTCTCAGGCACTCATTGCTTCTTCAGAAGGGGGAATGCATGGGACAAACTCTTGATGGGTATTCTACTAGGGATGGCTACAAGGGCAGTTTGATTCAGGTACTCTCCACATTCCCTCTTGACAGAAAGCATGAGGTGGTTGAGGTTGTTTAATGTAAGATGAAGTCTCACAGTGTTAGGTATCTGCTCCAGGGTCCCTCCAGGGCAAAAGTGACAACCCAGACACCTCACTCTGCCCTATAGAAAAAAAATTGCTCTGCTTAGGACAAAACAAGGAAAGCTGTTTCTCTACTTCCTCAGAATATTTTTCTCCTGATGGAAGAAATGGATGAAGGCAAAAAGGGTTTTGCTAGCTGGGATACAAGCACATCATCCAGCTCTGCATTTCTATGTGCAAGACTGGCCAACTGCAGCAACATTCACTTCTCCCTCTTTGTTTTTAAATATTTACAATTACTTTTACATGGAGGAGATTCTGAATGTGCTAGTGTAAATAAGATGAAATTTATCAACTCAAAAACGTTTCCAGAAAATGTTAATGAGAAAATAAATAAGAATTTTTAACTTTTGCAAAGGCTATGCCTTCACGATTTTATGGCTAGCAAAAACCAACTTACTTCATCTTCAATTTTTATATGTGCCTATGAAGTGTATTAGTACTGTATTTAAGAGCAAAAAAGAACGATGCTGTATGCAAATTCAATAAACACTGCTGATCTTGTGATAGTCTGGCTATGTGAATAATCTTACAGCAAATGTGATGTGTTTGGTGAGAAGAGAGATTTTAAAAACAGCATAACAACATTTTCCCTTGACATAATTATGTCATAATTATTGTAATTATTGCTATTAGCTCGAAGTAAGAGGTCCTCCAACGTCCCTTCAAAACACTATATGATTAAATATCTAATGTCCCCCAAAAGATTACCTGTCCCATTCATTCATTCATTTTATTTCTTCCTAATTGGATAACTTCCAGAAAGGTAGGATATAAGCAATAAATCATTAGTTGTATACAGCCCAGTCATGTTCAGTGAGATAAGCCACCATATAAATGTATTATTAAAAAATACGGTATATAAAAACAAAAAGGCATTGGTTTGCAGATCCTAGACTAATCTCAACACAAAATGCTAACCTCTTCATAGAAGGCAACTCAGGAATTAAAAACTGGGCTTGGAGTAAAAAAAAAAGAAAAAAAGATTTCATCTCTTAGCATCTCCCACAGTATTAGAGATTTAAATGGCGGTTAAAAACATGCCACCCACAACCCATTAAATTCATTAAAAGGCTCCACAATAGCATTACAATAGCAAGGATGGCACTGAAAAAACTGACTTATGACCAGTCCTTGGACTTAACAACTATTGCAGCATGCCTCCAGTCACAAAATTCGGCATCATGGCAGCCAGTACAGGTAGCCCTCGGCTTATAACCACAATTGAGCCTAAAATTTATGTTGCTAAGTGAGGCATTTGTTAAGTTAGTTTTGTCCCTTTTATAACCTTTCTTGTCAGAGTTATTAAGTCAGTGGTTCTCAACCTTTTTAATGCCGCGACCCCAACCGGTCGTAAGTCGAGGACTAAACCGGTCGTAAGTCAAGGACTAAACCGGTCATAAGTCAAGGACTAAACCGGTCATAAGTCGAGGACTACCCAACCGGTCGTAAGTCGAGGACTTCCCCTGCCCGGGAGCGCCGCGCATGCGTGGTTCCGCCCCCTGCGCCGACCGAGGCGTAGCTGGCAAGCGGCAGAGACGGAGCAGGCCGACCACCAGCTGGCCCAGCCCAAGGGAGGTAAGGCACCCGCCGGAAAAGGGGGAAAAATATGGCGGACAAAAAAAATGGCGGACAGGCTTGCTTGGCGACCCCCGTGAAATGGTCGATCGACCCCAAATGGGGTCCCGACCCACAGGTTGAGAACCACTGTATTAAGTGAACCATGACAGTTGTTAGTAGCAGGGTTGTTAAATGAATCTGGCTTCCCCACCGACTTTGCTTGTTGGAAGGTCACACGACACTGCAGCCTTCATAAATACAAGCGAGTTGCCAAGTGGTCCCAATTTTGATCACCGTGATCAAAAATGCTGCAACGGGGGGGGTCAATGTGAAAAACGGTCAGAAGTCACTTTTTCAGCGCCGCTGTAACTTTGAACTGCCACTAAACGAACCGTTGCTAAGTCGAGGACTACCTGTACTGCGTAGCAACACGACCAACGTTTTTGGAGCGCTGGGAATTAAGCCCGGCTCATAACGTCAACCGAAAGTCTTCATGCATTTCACCTGCATCTTCCCGAGGGCGGACCCCTATCCCACCGAGGACCGCCAAGGCTCGCAGGCGACTGCGAGCTTCGGGACGAACTGGGGAAACCCCCCCCCCCAGAAAGCGCGAACGGGATTCAGACGGTCGCCTGAAATTCCCGGGGAACTCCACTTCCCAATCTCGTCCTCAAGGCCCTTTAAAGAGAAGCGGAAGAGGCCGCCTTCGCCGTTCCTTCTCCTATCCGCGCCAAGGCCTTCAGAAGTCCCGCGGGCTGCTTTGGCCCACCCCCGCCGCCTCACTCACTGGCAGCAAATTCAAGGCCGGCGACTGGAGTCGCAGCTGCCGCTGCTCCTACGCTCACTCCGGGGTCCGGCCCAACGTCAGGGCGGCCATCTTGGTCCAGCTTCTCCCTCGGCAGCGGCCCGGTAGAAGAAAAAAAAAGCGCTTCTTTCTTTGCTTCAATGGGGGGGGGAGAGAGGGAGGGTGTGTGGAAGGGAGAGACAGCAAAGCGCCGCCCGCTTCTCTTCCGGGGAACCGCCCCGGCTGGGCTGCAGCCGCTTTATAGCGCCTGCCTTGGGCCCCGCGCCGCTTCCAGGATCCCGAGCGGAAGTCCCGGTTCTCCAGGCGAAAACGCGAAGGGGGCAAATGCGCCGCTGGGAGTTTGAACCCCGAAGCGGAGCCGAGCCGAGCCTCCGTCTTGTTCAGGGCAAAGCGGGAGGAGCTGAGGGCCCCTCTTCCGACCTTGGTCTTCGGCTCAGGCGGCGTCGAGAAGCCGCTCAGGGTGGTATGCGATGGGCCGGAGGATCTGCTCGGGTCTGGGGGTTGCGGCCGCCGCCCCCCCGTTTTGCCTGCGGGACTCTCCAAGTTGGAGTTTTCAAGGTTTCTCACGGGAGAATTGCTTCTAGAATGCCCTTTTTATTAGGGTTTAAAATTCCTTTTGTTTGTTTTCAATTTTTTTTTTTAGAAATTCTTTAAATATGTTACTTGCATTTTTATTTTTTTTTGCTTTGCTTACAGGTCTTAACCGGTAATAAAGATTGCAGCAAATGATGTTTGGAAATGAACTTATTTCATTTGTTATTGGGGATGCAGTGTTTTGTTTCGTTTTGACTTTTGGACCAAGAAAATGGACTTAGAATCAAAAGACTTTTGAATAAAGGAGAATGCTTGTAACTCAGGGTACTTGGTGCTCCCTGAGCTTGGTTGTTTTCTTGCAAACATTTCATTTGCCCATGCTAGATAAGTGATCTCCGTTTCCTAACTGAGGGAGCCAGTGCTGTCAGAAGCCTCTTCCGTGGCTAACATGACTATAGGACAAGTGCATGGAGTGCTGTTACCTTCCTACCAAAGTGGTACCTATTTATCTACTCACATTTGCATGCTTTCAAACTGCTAGGTTGGCAGAAGCAGGGGCAAGTAATGGGCACTCAACCCATTGCACCACACTCAGCTCTTGAATCCTGTCAGGCCTGTCACAGCTTAAAAAATCGCTAAGTAAAAAACAATCCTTGTCTCCATTTGTTGAGAAAGGTATAATTTTATTAGAGATCAAGTGTAAAGCAATAATGCAAAGCCAAAACTGAGATTCGCACACCAAAATCACTAAGTTCTACTTTTCCCCTCTGCATCTCGCTGCCCATCAATCAAGTTCCTGCAAGATGTTTCCATAAGGGTCATTCTGACTCCCTCAGTCTCCCAGCTGGGTGACCTTTGAGTGAGGTCTTGAGGTGGCTTCTACTTTTGTTTTCTCATAAACAACCCCTTCCCTTCATTCCCCCTCCTCATGCCAGACTGTCACTGCATCATAGTGAGGTACAAGCGAGCATAATGTTTTCAAATGATAAGATAACCTTTATTGTCATGTTTTTACTGTAGGCACAATGGCACACCTCAAAAATGAAATTTAGTTGCCCGCTCTCAAAAGAGAAACACATGACACACACCTAAACATACTATGTACAACATATGTATAGACCCACACCCCTACATATACATAACAAATATTAAATACTGTCCATCTTGAATATATAATGGAAGAAGCTTGAGAGTTCACAAGGTTAATTGAAAATGCAGTGAAATTAACACAAAGAAAATGGACTTAGAATCAAAAGATGTACTGTTCAGCATCACAAAGACAAACATGACTCCAAAAAATTGTTTACTATAGGTCAGCTATGGATGTCTGCAATGAATTATGGCATGTTGCATCCATTTGGTTCCTGACTTAAGTTTCGTTTCTCCTGAAAAGCTTACCTGCCTGCCTTAGGTTTCGTTTCCTGACTTAAGTTTCATTTCTCCTGTTAAGCTTACCTTGAATTAGTACCTCCTTGACTTAAGTTTCCTGTTCTTTGTGTATGGCAATGAAGAGCCATCCCCCTATTGTCCTTTTGTACACCCC